GTTTGTTTGTTTTAGTCATTTATTTATTTATTTATTTATTTTTATTTGTGTGTTTGTTTAATTTATTCGCTTATTTATTTGTTTGATTAATTAATTAATTAATTAATTTGTTTGCCTAATTAATTAATTTATTTATTTATATTTATGTTTATTTATTAGATAAAGAAATAATTATTAATGCGCTGTGGACTGTCTTTCCTGTCTTCTTCTTTTAGAGTTAACGCATGCAATGCATATCGCTTAAATCAGCATATAAATAAATAAATAAAATAAACAAATAAAATAAAATAAAATAATAAAATAAAATAAAGATAAGAAATAAATAACGAAATACTGCGGTCTCCTTCTCCCTGTCCTCTTTAACATTACAATCGTACCTTCACTATATTATATATATATACATATTATATATTTATATATATTTATATTTATATATATAATATATATATATGTTTATATATTGTATGCATAAGAGAATGCATGCATGCATGTGTACTCCTTTTGCATGCAAGTAATTATATAACATATAAAAATACTATCATATATATATATATATATACATATATATATACATATACATATACATATATACATATATATATACATATATACATATATATATATATAAATTTGTATATGCTGCGAATTGCTGCAGTGCGACGCGATGGCTGCAGCAATGGATGCTGCAGTGTCTGGACGTGAGGGTCTGCAAGTAGCAGTAGGACGAGATAAGACTCATTTACAGCATAATAATACTTTAAACTGGGCAGAGGAGTTCGTCCGCGACTTAGCAAGAGCAAGAAAAAGTGCAGACTTCGTTTACTCTTCGATGGGGCTTGGAAATACCTACAGAATGATGGGCATGGACTCCCATTTCAGGTTCGACACTCTAGGGTTTAGGGTTTAGGGTTTAGGGTTTAGGGTTTAGGGTTTAGGGTTTACGAGAGGGTAGGTTATATAGATACGGTTTAGAGGTATAATAGGGTTGTTAGTGGGGGTTAGGAGTTCGAGATCTTTACGGACAGGATTTACAGTTTACAGTTTAGGGTTTAGGGTTTAGGGTTTAGGGTTTAGGGTTTGGGGTGTATGGACAGGTATCTGGACACCTCGCTGGTGATGGCGGCCTTCCGCAATTCTCGCCATCGCGTTTTCTTCTTTGATTGCGAAGGGACGTTGGCTCCGGATCAAAGGAGGCTGGCTATGATGTGAGCGAGGGTTTAGGGTTTAGGGTTTAGGGTTTAGGGTTTAGGGTTTAGGGTTTAGGGTTTTTGATGTTATTTGTTCTTGGTTTGTCTCCTTTGTGTTATTTCCATCCACTTCTTTGTTTATTTCTTTTATAAGTTTGCATGCATGTATGCATTTGTTGATTGATTTTTTATATGTTTGCATGCATGCATGCATGCATGCATGCATGCACTTTTTTTTGTATATGTTTGCGTGCATGCATGCGTGAATAGGCAGAAGAACGGAGAAGAGTTATTTGCAGCAGGGAGGCCTCCTTCTTCGCAAGTGCAGCGGTGTCTGAAAGCTCTCTTAGAAAACCCTAAAAATACAGTTGTTATATTAAGCGGACGAGACAGAAACCTGCTTCAAGACTGGTTCAGAGATGTTAAGGGTATAGGCTTATGTGCTGAGCACGGTAAGAACAAATTCCTCTTTCCATGCATGCATGCAGTTGTTTGTGCATGCATGCATGCATGCATGCATGCATGCAGTTGTTTGTGCATGCATGCATGCATGCATGCATTTGTTTGTGCATGCATGCATGCATATGTTTATGCATGCATGCAGTTGTTATGGTTCGATTAAACATTACTCTGTTTCTATTTTTATTTCTTCTTCTATGCATGCATGCATTAGTTCATGCATGCATGCATGCATTCATGCATGCATGCATGCATGCATGCATATTATATATTTTTTTCATTTTTAAAATATATATTTTTCGTTTCTTTTTTTTCTTTTTCTCTCCCTTTTATAACTGCATGCATATATATATATATATATATGCATGCAAATATGCAAAGATATTGTGTATATATTTGTTTTAAATGCTGCTTTTCAGGGTATTACTACCGCCTAGACAAACTAACAGGAGACGAATGGGGCTGCATGTGCCCTGACGCCGATTTCACTTGGAAGTCTGTCGCTGTTGAATTAATGCTGCAGTATGTTAAAAGAACTCAAGGGTCCTTCATAGAAAATAAAGTAAGTATATATAATATAATATAATATAATATAATATAATATAATATAATATATATTAATAGTATATTAGTATTATTATTATATAGCTGCAGTATGTTAAAAGAACTCAAGGGTCCTTCATAGAAAATAAAGTAAGGTTTATATGCAATATAAATATTATATATATTATATATATATATATATATATATGTATATATGTAGTATAATCTATCCATATTTAATATATATATATATATAGGGATCATTCATAGAAAATAGAGTTAAAATTATATATATATATATTTGTAAACCCTCATTTTATTTATAAACCCTTTTATTATATATAAACCCTCAAAACAATTTACTTTTTGCTCATTACTAAACCCTAGAAGAAGTAAAGCGTCTAGCATTATAAACCCTTTTAAATCAATAAGCCCTCAAAACCCTCAGAACCCTAAACCCTAGACCCTAAACCCTAATGGCGAGGCACATTATCTTTTGTTCACTCGGATTGTAAACGTTTGAAAGGAGAAAAACCCTCTTCTTCTAACCCTAAACCCTAAACCCTAAACCCTAAACCCTAATCGAGTTGAACTGATTGCAAGCCACAAGGGGACAATATGTTTTTCTTCTTTGTTTGTATTACCGTCTGACTGATGCATTTATTATTTTATTATTTATACTTACGGTGTATATATATATATATATCTTATTATCTGCTTTTTCTTGTTTGTCTGTCTTTATATTATTATTTATTTATATGATTATCTGTTGTTGTTTGTTTGTTTGTTTGTTTATATTATTTATACTTGCAATGTATATTTATATTATTATATCTTGAGTTAATTTATATTATTTATACTTGCGGTGTACGTACACCTCAGGGCAGCGCTTTAGTTTTTCAGTACAGAGACGCAGACCCAGACTTCGGGCAGTTGCAAGCAAAGGACCTCTCCAGCCACCTCAGGCAAACCCTAAACCCTAAACCCTAGACCCTAAACCCTAGACCCTAAACCCTAATAAAGACCCCTAAACCCTAACCACTAATAGCCCCTAAACCCTAAACCCTAAACCCTTAGAATGATAAACCAGCCTGCTTTGTTCTAAATTCTACAAAACGGACCCCTAAACCCTAAACCACAAGCCCTAAACCCTAATATCATCAGCCATTGCGATGCTCGTTCTTCTGCTCTTTCTGCTGCTGCTCTTCCTGCTGCTGCTACTCTTCCTCCTCCTGCTGCTGCTCTTGCTGCTGCTGTTGCTGCTGCTGCTGCTGCTGCAGCGAGTTGCTGTTTGGCTATCCTGTGACAGTAGTTAGCGGCAAGGGGTACGTAGAGGTGAAGTTGCTGGGCGTTAACAAAGGCAAAGCTGTTGAGAGAATTCTTCAGACTCTTTCTACTCTGCACGGGGACATAGACTTCGTCTTCTGCATCGGAGATGATAGGTTAAACTCTCTTGCTGCTCGTGCTGCTGCTCTTGCTGCTGCTCTTGCTGCTGCTCATGCTGCTGCTCATGCTGCTGCTCATGCTGCTGCTCATGCTGCTGTTCATGCTGCTTATGCTGCTGCTGGTGATGGTGATGCTGCTGCTGGTGATGGTGATGCTGCTGCTTCTGCTGCTGTTTATATATATATATATATTTATATATATATATGAAGAGAGCATTTGTTTGTTTGTTTGTTTGTATTAATAGAAGTGAAGAAGACATGTTTGCTGCAGTAACCAAACAATAACTAAACATAATATATATATAAATATAAATATATATAAATATATATATTTATTTATTTATATTTATTTATATTTGTTCGCAGAAGCGACGAAGACATGTTTGCTGCAGTAAACAACTGGACGCTGGGCGACGGTCGATGTCTGCCGAACAGACAGGGGCCAAATGCTTCTTCTTTAATTACACACACCGGCAGAGAGCAGCTTCCTGCTTCGCATGCACTTCAGCGAGGCTCTGTCTCTGTAATACACATTGCATCCTACTCTCCTTGTCCTCCTCGCCGTTTATATCCTGCTTATGCTGCTGTTTATGCTGCTGCTGTTTATGCTGCTGCTGTTTATGCTGCTGCTTATGCTGCTGTTTATGCTGCTGTTTATGCTGCTGCTGTTTATGCTGCTGTTGATAGTGATTTGTTGTTTTTGCTGCTGTTGATAGTGTTGGTGATGCTGCTCTTGCTGGTGTTTTGTTGTTGTTGCTGCTGCTTCTAATGCTGCTGCTGCTAATGCTGCTGCTTCTAATGCTGCTGCTACTGTTAATGCTGCTGCTGTTGCTAATGCTGCTTCTGGTGTTGCTGCTGTTGCTAATGCTGCTGCTTCTAATGCTGCTGCTGCTTCTAATGTTACTGGTACTAACACTGCTGCTGTTGCTAATGCTGCTGCCGCTAATGCTGCTGTTGCTGCTGCTGCTGCTGCTGTTGCTGCTGCTGCAGTCTGAAGAGGGCCCTGTGAGTTGTTCTGCGGAAGCCGGTGAACGCCCAGGCCCTCCAAGTCATCCGCATGCGAAGGGGGTTTGTCTCCTTTTGTCTCATTTATTGTCTCTTTATTTGTCTCCTTTTGCCTCATTTATTCTCTCTTTATCTGTCTCCTTTTGCCTCATTTATTGTCTCTTTATTTGTCTCTGTTTGTCTCTTTATCTGTCTCCTTTTGTCTCTTTATTTGTCTCCTTTTGTCTCATTTATTGTCTCTTTGTTTGTCTTTGTTTGTCTCTTTATTTGTCCCTTTCTTTGTCTCCCTCTCTCTGATTTATTGTCTCTTTCTCTGTCTATTTATCTGTCTCTTTATTTGTCTCCTTGTCTGTCTCTCTCTCTGTCTGTCTGTCTCTCTCTGTCTCTTTATCTGTCTCTTTATTTGTCTATTTGTCTGTCTCTCTTTGTCTGTCTCTTTATCTGTCTCTTTCTGTGTCTCTTTTTCTCTTTTTTTTTGTCTCTCTTTGTCTCTGTCTCTCTTTATTTGTTCGTTTTTTTATTTATTTGTTTGTCTGTTATTTATTTATTTATTTATTTATATCTTTTTCTTTATTTATTTATCTTTTCTTCTATTTATTTATATTTTTATTTATTTTACTTATCTCTTTATTTGTTTATCTCTCTTTCTTTATTTATATTTTTATTTATTTATATATTTGGTCTCACAGACTTAGAGGGACGCACGCGCTGCACTCTCCTTGCTGCTGCTGCTGCTGCTGTTGCTGCTGCTGCCGCTGC